GAAGTAGTAGTAGTAGTAGTAGTAGGAGTAGTAGTAGTAGTAGTAGTAGTAGTGGTAGTGGTAGTGGTAGTGGTAGTAGTAGTAGTAGTAGTAGTAGTAGTAGTAGTAGTAGTAGCAGTAGTAGTAGTAGTGAGGTGAGGTGAGGTGAGGTGAGGTGAGGTGAGGTGAGGTGAGGTGAGGTGAGGTGAGGTGCTGTGGCCATTGCCGCCACAGACATCTTCGCAACGTTGACCTCGGATATGCCCTGCCCCATAGTGTTCTGGCCACTTCTGCCTGAGACATTAACGACACTATGATCTTGTTTATGCCCTGAGTTCAGGTGTTCAGGCCACTTACGCGTGAGACGTTTTCCGAATTCCGACCTCGGAGGTGCCCTGCCCCATGGTGGTCCGGGTATTTGCGCTTGAGACATCCTCGCATCTCTGGGTTGCGGGATGCACGTAGGGTTCTGTATGGATTCGTGTAGGTTTCTTTAGGGATTCATGTTGGAGTCTTTAGGGATCCACGTAAGGTTCTTTAGTGATTCATTCGGGCTCTTTTGGGATTCATGTGGGGTTCTTTATGGATTCATGCAGGGTTCCAGGCACCCGGGCACCCGGGCACCCGAACGGGGCTCAGGCAGCTCGGCATCCGGGCATCGCCCGGGCAGCCAGGCACCCGGGCATCCGGGCATGCGGGCACCATTTGGCAGGCACGGGCCCGGGCATCCGGGCACCCGCGGGCCCGCGGGCATCCGGGCACCCAGGCACCCGGGCACCCAGGCATCCGGGCACACGGGTACCCAGGCCGGCCCGGGCACCCAGACACCCGGGCATCCGGGCACCCGGGCACCCAGGTGCCCGAGCGACGGGGCCGGACCGTAGAGATAGGCATTGATCGGGCAGCCGGTCACCCGGGCACCCAGGCATCCGGGCACCCGGGCACTTTGGGCACGGGCCCGGGCATCCGGGCACCCGGGCATCCGGGCATCCGGGCACACGGGCATCCGAGCCCGGGCCAGGCCTCACGCACGGGCGAAGCCCGGGCAGCCGGGCACCCGGGCATCCGGGCATCCGCGGCGGGCACCCAGCAGGCACCCGGGCACCCGGGCACCCGGGCATCCGGGCACCCGGGCACCCGGGCATCCGGGCACCCGGGCACGGCCCGGGCACGCATCCGGGCACACGGGCATCCGAGCGGGCGCGGGCCTCAGGCATCGCCCTGGCAGCCGGGCACCCGGGCATCCGGGCATCCAGGCGCCCGCCCCGCGGGCACGGGCCTGGGCATCCGGGCACCCGGGCATCTGGGCATTCCGGCACACGGGCACCCGAGCGGGGCCAGGCTTCAGGCAGTTGGGCATCGCCCGGGCAGCCGGGCACCCGGGCATCCGGGCACCCGGGCACGGCCCGGGCACCCGGGCACGGGCCCGGGCACCGTAAAATAGTCATATACCCAGCCGTTTTGGGCCGTCTTAGGTCCTTCATGGGGGCCTGAGGCGGCTTGGGCTGATCTTTTGGGCCTGTATGGTGGTCTTGGGCGCTTTGAAAGCGAAAAGCATGGACATGGTGAAAATTCACGTGTTCCTGAAGGATTGAGGCGATTTTTCCTTGTGCGGGCTCTCTCGGAGCCCTTCTTGAAGCGTTTTGGGAACCTCTTGGGCCAGCTGGAGGTTATCTGGGGCGTCTTCGAGTTTTCGAGCGTTCTAGAACCGTATCGGAGGCCCTCTTGGACTGTCTTTGGCTGTCCTGGCGCTCCTGGTAGGTCTGGGCAATGCTCTGGAGGGCTTTCGGGGCCTCCGCCGGTGCTCCCGGAGACCCTGGAATTAGGTGATGCCCATCGGGGGGGGTCCCGTGTCATGTAATAAGGATGATGGATATATACACACCGACTCTCCGATGCCGCCCGATGTTTGCATGGCGTGGAGGTGCATCTTGGCGCGGCCTATCCGATTCGATTCCGACTCCGTGCCGACGCAGCGCGATCCGATTCGCATTCCGGCTCTACCCTGTGTCCCGATTCGTTGCCGACCGATTGTGCGAGGCGTCTGGCCCCGGGAAACCGCGTGCGCAGTTCTCGGGCGCCGAGGCGCCGCCTGTACCGCTCTGCACAGGGAGCGGGGGAACCTGGGCTCCGACAGGAAGTGCCGGGGCACACTCAGAGGCCGATGCTGATCCCACACGTGCAGGGTTTCGATGCCTGCTCCATGCGACGTCCCTGGAGCTCTCGACCCCTCCACAAGGACAAGGGGTGCTTTTTTGTTCGCCCCGGGCGTTTTTTTTTGGAGGCTCTTCAGGGCCCGAGGTGGAGCTCCAGAGGCCGAGATGGAGGAGCAAAGACTGTCGCACGTCTGGGTGTTGGCATGCTGTCCTCGTAGCTCGAGTGGTCGATCGACTACAGATCTGTTTTACCCCCATTCGTTCGTATCATGTACAAAACGCAGGTATAAGATTCGGAGGTCTACGAACATATGTAGTCGATCTCCTACTCTAATATCCGGGCACAGCATAGAACCACAACCACCACCAGGTGGATTTTCCTGCAGGCACCTCGGGGGAGAACCCACCGACCTCGGCACGAACTCTCTGGTTGTGGTCGTGGTCGATCTGGCCTTCTGGGGCGCCCGCATCGACCGAAACCAGCACCGAGCGGGTTTCGGTGTTCTGACGTTTCCTTGGCATGCGCAGCGCATCCCCCCAGGGTGCGTACTCGATGTGGTTGTGGTCGCCTGCGGTCCCCGCAAAATCGTGGCGGCGTGCGCAGAGGGGTGGCGCGAGGGGTGGCGGCCCGGCGGGAGGCCTCCTCGCCCCCGAGTGGATGCCTTCGTCGAGGCCAGGAGGGCTTTCTGGAGAGCCACGCGGGCGACGCAGCAAAAAAACGGGCTCCATTGCGCCGTTTTTCGCGCGTGAGCTGCCCGCGTAAGATGGCGCGCAAGTGCCCTCGTCTCCACTGTGGCGCGCCGCGCTGGCGGCCCGCGAAAGCCATCGCGCAAGGGTCGGTATGGCATCTTGCGTAAAGCCCGCTTCTTTTTGTCACTCAGGTTCCTGCTTATCCTGAGATCCGACGTCGCGAAGAGTTGCATCACCGTGGGGAATCACAAGCGGAGACCTGTACACCCTGTTTCAGGAGCAGCTTCGAGCCAGATCGATCCGCGAGGGTCCCCGGGGCCTGGACCCCCACGACAGCGCACGGCGTGAGCACACTGCAACGCTTGGGTCTGAGATTAGAGGGCCCTCCCTGGCCTGCCAGGCCGCCTCCCTCGCGCCACCCGAGGGGCCTATGTGCGCGACGCCAGGCGCAGGCAAGCCCTGGCTTCGAAGGGCCTGCCCCCCGCTCGGCCCCTGCACTGGCCGAGGGATCGAGCCGAGCCGCAGCCGCAGGCAGGGGGCGCGCTGCGCGGCACAGCACGCGCCCTTTCGCCGCTGCCGGTCAGGTACAACGTTGGGCGAGCCTCGATCGGTCGGGGCTAGGGCGAGGGTGACTCCGTTCAAGAGCGTTCCCGAGCGCTCTGAGAAGACCGCCGGATCTGAGATATTCTCGATGTATGTTCATCCGATGTTGTCCTCGTCCTGGCCTCGTCTTACTCGAGGTTCGAGCTTCATCCGTTTCGGGAGTTTTCGTCGGCTCTTGGTGGTTTTTCCAGCCTCGGGTGCTTTCCAGCGGCTGCACCTTGCCGTGGGCGGTCTGCGGGTGGCCCGGTCGTCCCGAACGGCCGCCGGAGAGCCGAGCCATGGTCCGATAGCCAGTGGGGAACATGGAGGGGGGATTGGCTCAGGGGGGACGTATCGACCCCCGAACCGCATAGTTTGAACCACAGAGATTGCACCACATAGCTTCCACTACAGAGCATGCACCACAGACCCTACATAACCACAGTGCGATAACTCACTGCTGTGGGTCTACACTGCCTAACATGGTTTGCTTTTGTTTATTTTTTGGGGGGGGGTCTTTGCCTCGCGTCGAGGCGACGCAACGAACGTGACGATGGCCAGTCTTGAGGCGTTTTGCGGCCCTGAGCCGGTAGGCAAACGGTGCTCAGCGCAAACGGGGCTCAGCCAGAGCGCCATATATTGCAGGACACTGCAAAGCTCGGAGGCGACGAAAGGGGCGAATAGCCCAGGGGGGGGCAGTGCATGTATCCAGGGGCGCCGATGATCCATGTCTTTAGCGAGGCTCCCAGAGGGGTATTTGCAATGCTCTCCCCTCATCAGTGCGCCCCTATCGTCGCCTCCGAAAAGCTGCATTTTTGCTGAGCTGGGTTTCGGGACCGCTCGCGGTCCCAGAGGTGGCCCTGCATCGTTGCCGAGCCGGGTTTGGGAAGCACCCCAAAGAGCTGCAGCGCAGGTTTTGTCTCTAAGGTCAAGCCGGGTTTGCCCCTGAGGAGGCACAGGATGATGTTGCCGCCTTAGAGAGATTCCCAGGGGCCCTTGGCCTCCTCTAGAGGCTGAGGGAGCGTTCTAAGAATTCCATGCGGTGTTTATGTAAGAAATTGTTCTTAGAACAGTTCTGGCTGAGACAGCCTTGCGTTAATGCGCTGGCTCCATGTTCTAAGGGTATTGTCTTTGTGTTACGAGTATTGCGACGGCTTTACGGCCGTTGCCGCCGACCTACGCCGGACTTCCCCGGGACCCCCGGTTGCGATCCCGCCGGGACCCCGTGGGGGGGCGGTATTCTGACCCAGGACCCCCCCTCACACACACCCAGCCCCCCTCCCATCCCCTTAAGGGAAAGAGGGAAGGAAATCGATTTCATTACAACATTCCCTATTCCTTGTTCCTCAATTTCATTCGGACTAGCGACGATGATGAAGACGACGAAGACGACGACGACGACGACGACGACGACGACGACGACGACGACGACGACGACGACGACGACGACGACGACGACGACACGACGACAGCGTCTCACACGCGCCGGAGGGTCGGCGGATTTCGCTGGTTCTGGAAATATGCCTATCGGAATATTGGAACCGTCGATTCCTGCTCAATTCTTCGTGGGGTCCACTCCTCGTGCCCCCGCAGTAGCAGCAAGTCCACGCTGGTCGACGGCCAGGAGAAGATCGTCGGGAACTTTAAGGTGCAGGTCGGGCCCGCGAAGGAGCGGCCTCGCGTTTGGACGAGCGACAGCATCGGGGCAATTACGGGGGTGCGAGCGTAGGACTGCGAGATGGAGCGGCGGGATGAGCAGCACGAGGACCACTTGGACGACGACTGTGACGAGGACGATCACCCTGAGATGCGGACGTTGCAATTTTTGTCACAACTGGCGTTTTCGCCGACTTTCGGGCCCCGGGACCAGTACAGACCGATCTGGCTTGAAGAATGCAGCAGAATGACGGGGCGTAGGGCTTTGGTCGTGATTCTTCACGATGTTGCAATTTGTTTGCAGATGCCGCATCTCAGGGCACGCTGACGACAGCGACGATGACGAGGCCAGCAGTGCCGTCCCAGTGGTCCTTGAAGCATTGCCCGTTCACCCAAGGCGGAAGGCTTGATGCACTCCTTTGCCCCATGGATCATTTGTCCCACCAGTCCTTGTCTTCAGGATCGGGAGCAGGAGAGGAGGTGGAGGTGCAAGCATAATGACGCCACAAGCCTGCTCTTCAGGTCCAACCAACGCTAAAAAGGTGCAAGTGGAGGCGGAGGATCTAGACTTACCTCTCGCGCTGCTGGCCTCACCTTCCAGATGGGTCTCGATGGCTGGCCGCCCAGAAGGGACCAGGGGCAGCCTTCCATGGCCCGTGGAAGGCATGGCAGCCTTCTGTCAGAGTGCGAGGGGTGAGTCTCCCGCCGTCCCTGGGGCCCTCGGTGCGGGGCCGACCGGGGGTCTGGCGGTCCCGATTCTTACAGCCGGCCCCGATTAGTAGGTCGACCCTGCCAGACGAAGGGTGCCTTGGTGTCCTGTGTCTCGCGACCCATGCCTCTAGCATTCCTGTGTCAATGTGGCCCTCGGCAGGGTATTGTGTCCTGTGTCCTCTCGCGTGTCCTGTCCAATCAAGTCCGACTGTATCGTGTTTCCATCGCTGCCCCGTCCCGCGACCCATCACGACCCACCCCTTGCCGCGACCCACCCCTCGTTGCGCGACATCCGGCGCCGAACCAACCCTCCGGGTCGGTTTGGGGGGTCGCCGCGGCGATCGCGACGGCCACACATTGGGGTAGGTTTCTTGTCAGGGAGTGGCACGCCACCTCCAAGCCCCCCCCTTCCCCCGCTCTACGACGTAGACGTGGCTCCTGAGTAACAGTATGTCAGTACAGCGGCGGAACATTGACAATCTATGTCCAACATGGGTAGTCTTGTTTTGGGGATTTGGGGTCTGTTCTCATCACCGAGCGCGTTCCACTACTCGCAAAGTGCCTACTCGCAAACGCCCGGAACAAAAAAACAGGTTCGCCTCATTGTAACGGATCGTCAATCCCCTCGCGGTGGAACCAGACCGTTTGCGAGCAGTTACGTTGCGAGTCGTTGAGTGCGTTTGTCTATATCACATATATGTATGTATATATACATACATAAAAGTATATGTATCACGCGACCAACCTCGCTCTGCGACGTAGACGTGGCACACGGTTAACAATACAGCGCCAGAGGGTCCTGATTGGGGGGGGCCTGGGGTTTCTTATCACGCAACCAGCCCCGCGACCAGATTGGCGACCCCCCCCGCGGCCCGCCCCGCGCTCCGCTCCGCGCCACGCGTCCCGCCCCCGCGACCCAACCCGCGCCCCGCTGCGCGCCCCGCCCCGCGCTCCGCTCCGTTCCGCGCCCCCCGTCCCACCCCGCGACCCGCCCCGCGCCCCGCCGCCTGGGCGCCCTCCCCGCGACCCTCGCCCGCCACACAGCAGGGCTCGTTTCGATCTCTCCGACTCGATCCGGTCCGATGTCGATCCGTTACGATTCCCATTTCGATCCGATTTCTGATTCCGATTTGGATTTCTGCTTCTCAGTGGAGGCCTTACCAGCCTGCCGTTTTCCGACGATTCGATTGATACCGACTTGATTGCCGATTTCCGCCGAGCCGATTTATTTCTATCGCCGATCCGACTTATCGATTCGATTCTGGGCTCTCCTGCACAGGTCCTGGGAAGCGAACAGATCGGCGCCCGCGGCGGGCTGCGCTGAATCGGCGGGAAGAGACGAGAAGACTGCAGCATGCTCAATGTCCGTTCACGGGAGCCTTGAACGGTGACATTGAAATCAATATGTTCTTGCATTTGGACAGCATTTGGACCGCATGTGGCCGTTCATCCTGCTCGTCCTCGCCCTTCATGTTCCCCTTCTCCCTCCTCATCCTTCTGGTCTCCCTTGTGGAGGGGCGAATCCGGTCCAAATTCTGGTCCAATTCCTGTCCCAGACGTGCTCCAATTCTGGCCTAAACCAAGCCCAACTCGGACCCATGCCAGGGGTCACGTCGCTTCCCATGGAACGAACACCAAAAGCAGGCACGTCCAGCACGAGACCAGGCCCTCAGCATGCGCTCCGCGGAAATTACCGTCCCCCGAATGCCCATGGAGGCCAACGTTCGCTCTGGGGGCACCCTTAGAATTCAGTCGGGCCTGTCCCTCTACAGGAGGAAAAATCAAAAATGGTTATAAGATAGTCAGGGAACGATTTTTCCCTACCTAGGCTCTGCCTAGAAGGGTTCTTACTTTTTAAGCTTAAAGGGCTGGGCAGTGTTCCTCGCCCCGGGCGGTTCCCCCGGCATCCGCCCCGCGGTTCCCCCAGTTACGCCCCCTGGGTTCACCCAGCTTAGCTTAGCTAAGCTTAGCTTAGCTTAGCTTAGCTTCGGTTAGCTTATCTCATATTAGCTTAGCTCAATTTCGCTTAGCTTAGCTTAGCATTGCCTCGTCCAGCTTAGCTTAGCTTAGCTTAGCTTATATAATATTAGCTTAGCTGAGCTTAGCTGAGCTTAGCTTAGCTTAGCTTAGCTGAGCTTAGCTTGGCTTGGCTCAGCTTAGCTTAGCTTAGCGCAGCGCAGCATAGCGCAGCGCAGCATTAGCACAGCATAGCATAGCATAGCATAGCATGGCCAATGATAACATAGCATAGCATAGCTCAGCATATCATATCATATCATATCATAGCGCAGCATAGCATAGCACAGCATCGCATAGCATAGCACAGCGCAGCATAGCATAACATAGCATAGCATAGCACATCATACCATGTCATACCATAACATACCATATCATAGCGCATCATAACATAACATTGCATAACATAGCATATCATAGCGCAACATGTCATATCATAACATAGCCTAGCATCGCATATCATAGCGCAGCGAAGCATATCATAGCATAGCGCAGCACAGCAAACCATAACATATCATAGCATATCATATGCTGTGCTATGCTCAGTGTACCCTAACATAGCATTGCATAGCATAGCATAGCATCGCATAGCATAGCCTACCTTAGGGCACATGTGTAGATGGGGATGTAGGTGTAAGTGTAGATGTAGATGCAGATGTAGGTGTAGATGTAGGTGTAGATGTAGATGTAGATGTGAGTCTCGCTGTTGATGTTGATGTAGATGCAGGTGTAGATGTAAATGTAGCTGTCGGTGTAGATGTAGATGTTGCTTTCCTAAATGCTCCAACTCCTAGGTAGGGTCGCACTGGGATAATTGTGTATTTTTTGACCATTCACGGTTCTGGGACTCGAGGCCTTCTCCGAGAATGTCTCGGGCGACAGGGGCCCCCAGGGTCCCAAGACCGTGCGGTGACGGACCGTGCGGTCTCTTGGGGTTCCGAGGTCACCGCACGGTCTGTCACCACAGGGTTGTGGGATCCCCAGCACGCCTCCCCGCTCCCGTCCGCTGATGCCGGGCCTTCGGAGGTCTTTCTTGTAGCCGGCGGCGTCCGCACGGGGTGGGGGGAGGGCGGCGGGCGGGGCGCGCGGCCAAGCCAGGCCAAATCAGAGGCCAGACCAGGCAGATTCAGAGGATGTCCCAGGCAGAGTAGCCCACCCCAGGCTCCATCCACTCCTCTCCTGCACAACATTCCAAGTAGTTGAAGGCGTGGATCACCCCAGGGCCGCCCCCTCCCCCCGCTGGCGGCGACCCGTTTCGAATTTTATGGGGGGGCCTTCCAAGGGCCTCTGCGCTCTAATAGGCCCCCGCTTCTCAGAAGGCAGCTCCTCTTGCGCCACTCACACGCGCGCGCGACAAACTTAAGGCGATTAATGGTCGGGACTCCACTCAGTGTGGTCTGTGGGCGAGGTCCACCAGATATGACCAGAGATCCCTGCGACGGCGCAAAACGTACGCTGCATCAACAAAGCAACAGATGGTTGCGGTCAAGTGGCCTTGCGTCTTGGACGGTTGCTTTTGCAGGTCTCGGGGATCATATCGGGAGAAAAGTCTCTAAGTGTTATTTCGAGCTCACCCTATATTCAGGACGGGCGCGCCCCCAGGGTGGGCCGATCGGTTCTTTCATTGATTAGCTGACTGGCCGCCTCAGGACCACGAGTTCAAGGACGCCACGCTCACCGTGATACCTCACTACAAACTCCGCCGGGTCTCAGGGCGAGGAATCTGCACGAGGCGGGTGACGATGACGAGGAGGCACTAGGAAGAAGTGTTACCATAGCTTCGAAGGCGTCAACTTCGATGGCGTGCTTGCAGCGCTGTGGTTCGAACGGCATCCTTGCGTCCTCCTATCGTCCCGCAGCTTACTACATGTCGCACCGGGAGGCTGGATACACATGACATGGCGTGCCCTGGCGAGAGATGACACCACATGTGGCCGCATTTGTTTTCAGCGCCCGGCCCTTTTGCGGTCAAGTGCGCCAGCATTTCGAATGTGTTTTCAGCCAGCAGACTCCAAGCGCCCCACATGTGAGTCTGGCCGTGTGTGTTTCCATACTGTCTGTGTTTCTATCTCGTCATTCTGGCAACCCTTGTGGTCCCCAAAGTGGTCCGCTGACCCCACCACTCGTACGTGTGAGTCAAAGTCGGCGGCGAGCCCAGGGGGGAAGGCAGAGGAGGCGGGCCATCTGAGAAATTTCGGAGCCGCCCCCGAAGACATAGAAATCTCCCCAATCGACGCGGGTGCTTCTGAGAAGCTCCGCTGCCTTCTGAGAAGCCCTGCCTTGTCTCACCACCCCTGTGGACTTGGACCGCTCTCCGAACATGTCCCGCTCCTCCTCGTCCTCCTTCTCCTCCGCCTCCTCCTCCTCGTCCTCGTCGTCGTCCACCTCCTACTTCATCCATGCGATCTCTCTTCCAGCCTGGGTTTCGGTTTGTGGCGGCATTCGCGCTTTGACACTTCCTGCTGAGCCACGATGTCCGCCCCAGACTTTTCCCTCAAACAGATAGGTCAGCCAGCGTGGACCCAAACCAGTGACGTATTGAGATATTTGCGGTGCAGTCTAGGTAGTGTAATATATGTTCGGCAATCCATGTGGTGCGAGCTACGTGGTGTAAGCCATGTCGCGCAATCTATGTGATGCAAGCTATGTGGTACAGTATAAGTGGCGAAAATAATGAGGCGACAGCTGTGTTAAGCAGTACGTGTGGTGCGAGCTATGTGGTGCAGTCTACCCTGCCGAACTTGAAAATTGTCAGCTCCACTGCTTGCGCAATCATCTCACCCACCCACCCGCTATTCGGTTTGCAAAACTCACACGGCGGCGATTGCGATGGCTGCTTGGCGTTGGATTGCGCACCGTTGCGGCCGCGCTAGCGTTCGCAGCTTCGCGCGCAGAGCGGCCAGCTAGCCTGACGTGGCCGACGCGGACGCAGAGGCGTTGACCGCGGGCGAAGGCCGCGCCGATGGGAGGGCACTTCAGTTCGAGTCGGTGAGTCGGGCGGGCGCGGTATCATGGCGACGTCGGCAACGGCCGGCGCGATGATGATAGTAGCAATGCGGGCGACGACGCGACGGTGACGATGACGGCGGAAAAAGGCCAATTACGGCGCCGATGTTGATCGTGCCGATGACGATGAGGCCACCCTCATGTCGGGGATGAACATGTCTGGCAGATTTCGTCATGCGCGCGCGGCCGACTTGCGCGAGTGGCCCGTGTAGTTTCATTCGTGAGGGGGTCGCATTCTGCCGCGGGCCCCCTCTCGACCACTATGGAGCATGCGAGAGCCACGCTGGGATGTCCAGGCGCCGTCGTAAAAAGCAGCCGAGGATGACCGGTAATCATCAAGGCAGATCGTGATCCAGATGGTATTGTTGAGCTCTGTGTTGCCTATTCGTACTTCCCCACTGATGTGTATCGGGGGCCCCCGTGGAACGACTGTGGGTTGTTTGAAACTGCGTTGGGCAAAACCGCGCGGTTCGGATTGTCGTTGGGTTCCTCCTGCGTTCTCTCTGCAACTGCCGTGGTTTCGGAGACCCGATTATGGCGCAATTTAGTGACAATCGTTGCTTCGGGTGCGCGGGTAGGCGTGTTCCAGTAGATATCGTGGTTTTGGCGCGAACTTCGCGCACATTACATAGGACCGTGGCCCCGGGGACGCGAATATTGCTTGTGGTTAAGATGGGTCGTGGCCTCGGGGCGCGCGAGCGTGGTGTAATGTTCTAGGGATCGTAGCCTCGGGCGCGCGAGCCTTGAAGATTTTGTAATGGTTTCGAGGCCGCGTGTTCGGAGACGCGAATCTTGCGACATTCCCGGGGAGGTCGTGGCTTCGGAGGCGCGAGTGTTGCTTCATGTGCGAAGGGTCGCGCCCTCGGGAACGCGAGTGTGTCGTAATTTAGAACAGGGGTCGTGGTTTTAGGGTTTCGGGAATGTTTTCGTTTGCAAGGGATCGTGGCCTCGGGGGCCCGAGCATGGCGTAATTTACGGGGGATCGTGGCAGAAGGCGCGCGACGATTGTGTAATGTAAAAGGTGGTGGCGTCGGAGGCGCGAACACGGTGTACTGTACGATGGACCGTGGCTTCGGGGACGCGAGCGTGGCGTAATTTGCTAGGGGTCGTGGCCTCGGGTGTGTGAGTTATGTAATGTATAAGGGATCGTCGCTTCAGGGACGGTGCTCTGCTCAACCTAACAACATGTGGCGGCGACGGGGCGACGACAAGCCGGCCGAAGCGGCACCCAGGTCCAGTTCCATGAAAGAGAAGTATGAAGCAGTATATACAATCATTGGTTGAGGAGTGTCGTCCATGTATGTTGGAATGTTCCCCGAGCAGCGCTTGCACGCAAGGGATATCATTTCTGTTCTAAGGAAGTAGGTCGTGACTTCGGTCTGGCGGCTATACGGCCTCAGCCGCCGCCCCGCCACCGCCTCGTCGACGCCCGTCGTCTGGGCCGTGTCTTCGGTTTGGCGGCTATGCCGCTGTTAGATTGCACCGCGTAGGTTACACAACATGTATTGCACGACCTAGATGGCAGCACATATATTGCACCACGTAGATTGCACAACCTATGTTGCACTACGTATACTTGGCCGCATCTATTACACACCATTTACGGCGCAACATATAGTGCGAAACCTAAATTGCACCACATAGGTTGCACCACACAGATCCCTCCACGTACTTTGCACACCATAGACTGCTCCGCATGGATTGCCAAACTCAGATTGGACTACATGGATTGCAGAACAGAGATTGCACAACATAGATTGCATTACCTAGATTGCAACACATAGGTTCCACCACACATGCTGCTCCTTATAGGTTGCCTAACATATATTGACGAATTTGGCCCATACCGGGCCTTTCGGGCAGCCCCCCAGACCTGACTTTAGGAGAGCCCGAAGACGGCCCCAGAGGGCCCCCGACGTTCTGGCGCGCTCTGGAAACGACCCCAGAGAGCCCCAAGACGGTCGACGACGATCCGAAGGAGCCGTCATACCCCCAAAGATTGCTCCAAGTCGTCTTAAGAGGCCTCCGAGAGTAATCCCAAAAGGGCCCCAAGAGACAACATTAGTTAAATGTCGATTGGTTTGTGAGGGATTTGTGAGTTCTCCTTTTTCGGCTTCCCGACGCTGCAAGACGGCCCACGAAGCCCCCAAGATGGCCTTAAGACGGCCCGACAGACCTCCAAGAGAGCCCAAAAATTTGCCCAAGAGGGGCCCGAAACAATCCCGACAGGGTCCAAGGAGGCCCCAGGAGGCTCCCAAGAGGCCCCGAAAAAAGGCCCCCAAGAGCCCCGCAGGAAGCCCCAAGAGGCCCCACAGGAGTTTCAAAATCCCGCGAGAAGAACCCCACAGAAGGTCGAGATTTCTCCAAAACGTCCCAAGAGGCCTCCAAGAGCACTCCCAAGAGGGCCCCACGAGGCAAAAGCAAAAAACATATGTTGGCTTGCGGGGGATGTTTAAATTCTCCCCTTTTCGGCTTCCCCACGCTCCAAGACGGCCCGCCAGGAGGCCCCCAAGATCGCCCTAAACCGACCCAAGAGGGCCCCAAACCGACCCAAGAGGGCCCCCAGACAGTCCCGACAGGGCCCCAGGAGGTTTCCAAGAGGCCCCGAAGAGCCCCCAAGAGGCCCCCAAGAGCCCCCCCAAAGGCCCCCAAGAGGTCCCCAAGAGTCCGAAAAGATCCCGCAAGGACCCCACAGAAGTTCGAGATCGCTCCAAAACGTCCCAAGAGGCTTCCAAAACCACTCTCAATAGTGCCCCACGACGCAAGAATCATTAATTTTTCAATGGTTTGTGGGGGGATCTTGCGATCTCCCCTTTTCGTCTTCGCGACGCTCCAAAACAGCCCACAAGGCCCCCAAGATCGCCTTAAGATAGCCCGACAGACTTCCAAGAGGGCCCCAAAACCTGCTTAAGAGGGCCCCCAGACGAGCCCCCAAGAGGCCCACAGGAAGCCCCAAGAAGTCCCCAAGAGTCCCAAAAGGTCCCACAAGGACCCCACAGAAGTTTGAAAACGCCCAAAAAGGCTTCAAGACAGGCCCAAAACTTGCCAGGAGCCCGGACATGACTCCAAGACAGCCGAACAGAGCCAATACGCGCCCCAAGGCGGGCCCAAGCCCTAACGGGACTGCACTACGTCCCACAGAGGCCCTCAGAAGGCTCCGGGAGGCTCCAATGAGGTCCACGTGACGTTAGCCGTCTGAACGCGAGTCCTCCCAAGAGCGCACGGCGGCGCAACTTCAGCGTCGATCCCCGCTGCGACACGGTCCCAAGGCCCCCCAGGGCCCTCACACGGCTCCTTCCATAGTCCCAAACACACGGTCATTGGTAAGTCCAGGTCGTTGTTCCGCATTCTGCCGTGGCCTCCATGCCGCGCCCACCCAAGTCTTTCGGCACTCCCGAGCCCTTGACTGCGGTTCTTGCCCCCCGCCCTTTGTGGCCACGACCGCGTACATGTACATATAGACATGCATATGTGTACACGTAGAACCGCCCAAGCAGACATGATACACGTGTATGCGCAAGCTTGGATACCTATATATATATATGTATATATGTATGTATGTATGTATGTCTGTCTGTCTGTCTGTCTGTCTGTCTGTATGTATGTATGTATGTATGTATGTATCTATGTATGTATGTATATAGGTATGTATGTATGTATGCATGCATGTATGTATGTATGTATGTATGCATGTATGTATGTATGTATGTATGTGTGTATGTATGTATGTATGTATGGACGTATGTATGGACGTATGTATGTATATATCTACATGCATATATGTATATATCGATGTGTACATATACATATACATATACAGATACAGATATATATATATATATATATATATGTAGAGATATTCATATTTTTATTACCCGGACCCCCCCCCAAACCGGATCCCCCCCCAGGGACGCCTTGGACACCTTTTCGGACGTTTCAGCGGCCCCCTGGACGCCCTTGGAAAAGGTCCGCTGGCCCTTCCGGGCCTCCCAGGGCGCCTTGCCGGGCCTTGCGAGCAGACTCAAGGCGATCAGAGGGGTCATCGGAGAGGCGCAACAGACACCCAAGACAGCACCAGAGCGCTCCAAGAGGAACCTCGATGGTCTGAAGACGGCCCAAGAGGACCCCAAGACGCCCCAAGAGGTTGTTAGGAGAGCACCGAAGAAGCAAATATTGTCCCATTCCTTAGGGAATATGTATAAGTTTAACATATCCGCTGTTTGGGACTTCGCAGCGTCCAAAGTAGCCCGATAGGCCCCCGATATCGCCCCAAGACGGCCCAAGAGACCCCCCAGAGGCTTTGAAGACTGCCCAAGAGGGCCCCAAGACTGCCCCAGAGAGCCCCGAGACTGCCCGCAAGAAGCCGAATGTGCCCCCAGAAGGCTCCCAAGAGAGACCCCCGAGAAGGCCATTAGAGGCCCCCAAGAGGGCCCTAGATGGCTTCAGAAGACCTCTGGAAGGCCCCAGCTCTCCAAGACGGCCCAAGAAGGCCCCAGGACGGCCCAAGAGGGCCCCAGGACGGCCCAGAAGAGCCCCCAAAACGCCCAGACGGCGTTTTCCTACGAAGTACATCGAGCTGACCCGACGATTGTGGTTCCACGCTTGAGGCTCGAGGTTTCAGTTCCGCGATCGAGAGAAACAGGCAATGGATCTAGATTCGGTTTTCGACGATCGAAGATTTCCTGATTGCCTGAAGCCTTCCAGGCATTCAGGAAGCTACCAAAGATCGACGTCACTGCTCGATTCGGTGCTACTGCGACTTCTTCGGCGTGTCATGGGAACGCTCCTTACTTCTTCAAAGGACCTTCGCGCGTAAAAAAACAGCATTCCCCCAGTTCTTGCGCACAGGCGTGCAAGCGCATCGGGCGAACGCGGTGTCAGCAGGCACCAGAGATATCAGAAAAATGAGCTGGTCGCCCGTCCAGGCTTCGAGGTCCCCCCCGCTGAAGTAAGCAATGGTTAATCTTGTTTTGCCGAGGAGGGTCCGGAACAAAGCGCATGGCGAGAAGCGCCAATGCAGTCTTGGTTATAGATATATGTATATATGTGTTTGTACGCACATTAGTATACACACGCGTGTGTGTGTATATACATACACATGTGTATGTTTATATATAGAGAGAGGGAGAGGAGAGAGAGAGAGAGAGAGAGACAAAAAAAAGAAAGAGAAAGAGAGAGAGAGAGAGAGCGAGAGAAAGAGAGAAAGAGAGAGATGGCGTGCACGCGCGACCGCGTATATGACATGCGTGCATATATCCGCGTGCGCATGTGCACGCGCACGAGCGCCGCCCGCGTGCGAAACTCGAAGAACCAAGGTGCATGGCGCGAAGCGCCACTGCAGTTCTGTAAGTGTGTATATGTATATATGAATGTGCCGGTTGGTGGCAGTTATGTATGCAATTACATTGATGTATATTTACTAATCATAGTGAGGCGCATTTGATTACGAGCGCAGACAAGAAGCAGCCTGAAGCTCGGACAGAGGGCAGGCCAGGCCCTGCCCAGGAGGTAGGAGACCACGCACGGCGGCCATTCTGAGCAGGTCCGGAGCGCGCGTCCTGCCAGAGGCGCCGGGGGGGAGCATTCGGCAAGGCCATCTGGGTTCATGTAGCAGGAGTCAGCGCTAAACGGGCACTCGCGCCTACAAACGTACGCGGGGCATTCGATGTGCGCTTTGGCGAAGACGTTTCCCTCGTCGTCCTCCAGAACCTCGCCGCCCTCGTCGTCGGCGCTCTCCAGCCCTGAGACCTGGGCGTTGCACAGTTTCCATACCCAGCGTTTTCGCCCAGCTTCGGCCCCCAGGGCCCTCACAGATAAATCGGGCCCGAGAAGTGCGGCAGAAAAATGAGGTCTGGGTCTCCAGCCATGATTCCCCACACTGCTGCATTTCTGTCCGCAGCGTCTGGTCTCGGGGCACTTCTTCTCCCTTGCCCCCTCTGAGGGATCGGCTCTGTGGAGGGCCCCCGCTGGCTCACCCAGATTTTTTGGGGAGCCGCGTGCCTCGGTGGCGAAGTCCGAACCCTACCCTCGCCGATCAACGATTCGAGCAACTCGATGAGTGGCGGGGGTAAGGTTCGGAATTCGTCGAACGCGTGGCGAAATCCGAAGCGTACCCCCGCCTCCCATCGTCGGTGGCGAGCGATGGGGGGGAAGTGAGAAGCAGAAGGCCTTTTCAGAAGGCGGCGGGACTTCTCAGAAGCCCCCGTAATTTCTGAGAGGTTTTCTGTGTCTTCGGGGAAGTCTTAGAACGCTGCTTAGCAGGATCGAGGACTTCGAGCCTTCCGAGAAGGCCCGCCCCTTTTCATTTTCCCCCCCTCAGGCTCGCCTCCCATCGATTCGGGAGAATCGATAGTTAATGGGGATAGTCAGGCGGGGCTAGGACGAGGATCAACCCGTTCCAGAGCGTTCTGGAACGTTCCGGAACGCTGTGAGAAGGCCGCGACGCCCGATACATGCTCCAGAGCCGCCGGACCTCACAGATTCTCGATCTCTCCTCACCATAGTTGATCCTTGTCCTGGCTTCGTCTGAGGGTAGGGTTCGGATGTCGCCACCTCGTGGTGCTGACGCCCCTTTTCCCCGCCCGGCTCGGAAGCTGCTCTACGGGCCCGCCCCCGCTCCTCGACGGCTGGCGGCGCGCACGCGCGGGTGGCGCTGACGAGGGGGTTGGGCGCCTTCGAGCTTGGAGCCGACCGGGGGTCCAGCGCTGGTTCTGGCGAGCAGGACGCGGGGGGAGAGAGGCAGGTTCGAGGTGCTTGGTGCGGGAGGGTTTTTGTGTTTGTGGTGCTTCTTGCTCTGGGGGAAGTTTGCGGGCCCTGGACCGTCAAAAGCGGATTTGGGATGACAAATTGCACCAGTTGGGCCCTGGCAGGGGTCCGGGGACCGATATTGAGCGCAGTTGCCTTTCCTCAGGGCTTAGGAGGTCGGGGAACCTTTTTGTGAACGAGGCCCGCCGTGGCTAGGAAAGCCCCTTCGTTCCTCCTTTCGCTTTCCCCCTGGCAGCGCCACGCGCCCGGCGCAAGTCGAAGCGGCCAGTTTCTCGCTATGTGTCGCCGCCGCTTGCTCCTGTCTCCCGCCGGCCTGTGCACGATCCGCCTCGCAGCGCCCCCGCTCAGGATACGGGCGCGGTGCGCGTCCGCCACCGCTGCGACCAATCCGGACGGCTGTGGAGGAGAAGCCGGCCTACGGGGGAAGGGAGGCGTCCAGAGTCCGAGGTTCCGGGGCCTGCGTTTCGAGACATCGGCACGTCGGATGTCCGTTCCGACTGACGCCCTACACACATCGGCGTCACGCCGACGCTCTAATGCGTTGTGTGCGTCGCCCCCCCAGGAGCGACGCGCGCGCCGAGAAATCTTCTAGCATAAGCTCTATGGCTGTTGCTTTCTGGGCCATACCGTTCGGGAAACGATACCTCGTTAAATGTTCGTACTATATGATATGGTTGCACGCGCGCCTCTTAGGGAGACACATCGTACTAGCATGTCCTTCAGCATCCCATTACACGGCACCCGTCGGTACGATCGAAATGGGGGACGAAGACCAACATTGGAAGGCAAAGTCTGCCTGCTTCTAGAAGACCAGGATCTTGGGCCTGTGCCAGACAACGCTCGCGCTTTGTAGCCGCAAGAGTCTAGAGACACATTGGCTTTCGTTGCGTGTGTAGACACGTTTGGGGTGGATATGCCTATAGACAACGTGGCCGTTGCGTTCGGCGCAGGAAAGGGTAGCAGGAAGGTTTGTACCAACTACGGTATGTTCCTGTTCTTTAGCAGGCCCCACATTGTTCTTCAAGACGAACCGCAGTTCTCGCACATGCAACTTCGTGGAAAATTGCGACCGGAGACCCAGAACCAGAATTTATGCTGCGTTTGTCCAGCCAGGTTGGGGTGGTCCCAGGGCCCGACGCCCAGCCTGGGCCTCAGGGAGCGTCGCGAGGTCCCGAACATGTTCGACCACGACGACCCCCATTCCGACTTCGGCAAGATCTTTGTCATCCCGCGTTCGTTCTGGCTGAACGAGTCGAAGGACGCGCCGGCAAGCTCCTGCCGCGGCCTGGCCGGTTGCCTTTGCTTCCCGCCGCTCCTCTGCCTTCTTTTCCTCTTAATTCTTCTCCTCCTCCTCCTCCTCGCCCTCCGCATCGTCGCCCTCCCCTCCTCGCCCTCCCCTCCACGTTGCTCTCGGGATCTGCTTCGGCAGCTGGAATTGTGTATGTTTGCATGTCCAAGTTCCGATGTACACCAGGAGCCTTCTGTACGCTGGGAGCCTTCCTAGCTGAGGGGTCTAGTGTCTTGATCTCTTCCTTCGGCTTCAGGGGGCGGGCGGAAATCCACAAAAGACGTTGTAACCCCTTCACGCATGTTGTTTCTGTCCACTTGTTTTAAGTCGGGCCTGTCCCTCTACAGGAGGGATATTCAAAACTAGTCAAACAATAGTTTGTGGACTATTTTTGAGTATTTCTGAGCATTTTTGGAGCATCTTTTGGTTATTTTTAATTTTTCGTGCACAATCCCCCTGTAGGGGGACACGCCCGACTTGGCACTTGTTTCAACCTGTGGGCCTTTTTTGAAAAGTGCAGATTTTTGGCTGCGCGCACAGGGGGGCTGGGGGATGGACGCACGGTGGGCGTCCTTCTAGGCAGGCGGGTGGCTGCTCAGAAGGCAGGGGCCTTCAAGAAGGGCCCAGGGCTTGTGTGGCGAGACGCTTCTTAGAAACCGGGCGCCCATACGCCTGACACGCGTCGGTCTGCCTGTTGAGTTATACATCCCTCTGCTTTCTTGGTTTGTTTTCTTTCCTCGGGCCGCCCTGGCCCTAGCTCGCCTCATGCGTTCCGAGGTCGCCTCTTGGGTTTGGGCCCTCGCCTTGCCTGATGGGGTAGGGAATTTCGACGCTGGGCCGCGCTGCTAAAGATCAGGGTGCCGCCGTCAGCGCTTTCGCTTCGCTTCCCACGCGACGCATGAAACGACACAGACTCGATGCTACGCGGCATCGAATCTCCCCTGCTGCTGTTAGGAGTCTTGGAGCTCGCATGCTGGGTGGGAGCCTGGCCGCGAGCTCGCCCAGGGCGTCGACGTGTCTCATCCGACGTGGCAGCCCTAGGTCTTCGCTATTTTGCTGGCCGTTCGGAGTCCGCAAAGCGAAGGACGCCGAGTTTCAGCCACACCCGTGTTCTTGAACGGGGTATTGCCGTCCTCGCCGCGCTCTACGTCCTGCTCGAGTCATTCTCGTTTGCACCATCTTTCGCAGCAGCCCTATTTGAAATTCGTGGCACCGAAGCAAAATTCATGAGCTTGGCTTGAAAGTTTGCTACATTAAGGTGAAGGTGCACGTAAGAGTTTTATTCGAAAGCCTGACAGTTCGACCATTCAGATCGCATATGCCCCAATATGTTTGTTGGGTGCGGGCGATAACCAAATCTATATGTTACGCATCCCTACGTCATCGGGCCGTCGTCCGGTTTCTTCCTTCGACCGTTGTGGATCGAAGGCAACCCCCAACCCGTCATGGCGAGCCGGCAATTGCCGTCCTCTTCCCAACATCGAGAAACAACCACTTGCGTAAACATACACTTTTGGCGCTCCGCGGGGAGATCTTGGATCTGCGCTGGAACCCACCCTGGAGGCAGATCCAGGAAATCCGCGCGGGCCTCCGAAACTGTACGTGTATACAGTTGTTTGCTCTTGCATGAAACCTACTACGTCAATCACGATGGGCGTGTTGCTGTATTTTTCGGCATCCAGGGCCAGGGGGCAACTTTCGAACCCCAGGGCCATCAGAAACGACTCTCGACGAAGAGCCTGTCTCGGGAATCGGGTCGAGAGACTCCAGCTGCCAGCGCCTGGAAGAACATAGGAACATGGCGTCGGTGGTCTGGGCTGCTGCCGCCACGGAAACCATTTTAGACCTTCGGCTTGTTTGGATGGTTGAGAGACGGATTTTGGGCGGCGCCCGAGCCGCCGAATCTCAAATATTCTCCATTTACCCTCGCCCGATTGCGAAGCCGGGTGCCCCTCGGCTGGCATGCCTCCACCACGCAGCATCCAGTGGCGTGAGACGCCGCGTGCCCTCTTGTGAACACGAGGCATTGGGCAAAATGGAGTGACACCGCATTTTCTTTTCGGCCAGACAGCTTCGATCGTGGCATTTCGGGGCATTTCAGTATGAACCTTCCAGCCTTCGGGTGCGTCCCCTCGCAGTCTCACTTGTCTTCCTAGTGTATCTTCTGGGCCCAGCGGTGACGATGGCTTCGAAGACGAGGAGGGCGGATGCCGCGTTTTGAGCTCCATATTGTAGACACTCTGACCACCTGGGATTAATACCGTCTGGTACGGAGGTGATGCCAAGAGACATTGAGGCCATGGGACGAGTGTAAGTCAGTTGATAGTACGAGGTTGGAGCCACGGTATGGGGATCTGGGCCACCGCAGAGATGCTCATTGTCACAGTGGTTGTCACGTGCAAAATGTGTCGTACATTTCTCTCTCACACATGCGTGCATGTTCATGTCCACCTGCATTACATTCGCACTGTGCCCCGTGACGTTGCAACATGTTTATTGATGATCAGATGGCATCACCGTCGTGGCAGTTGTATTCGAGCTCGTTGCGTTTACCCTTACATCTGCGCGAGCTTGTGGATAAACGTTTACTTTCTTCCCCTTAGTCCCAGCTGGCCTCAACATGCCCCCCGAGTAGTCCCGGCGGTCCCACCCCAATCATGGAGTGCGGAAGGGCCCCAGGGGCGCCACTGGAGGCGGCGCCAGGGTGTTGAGATCGCTACTCGCAGGGCCTGTTGAGGCCAGCCGGGACTACCTGAGAGGGATGTAACCCGAAGCCTTACCAAATTTGTTGTACGAATTTTGGTGAGCTCGTCTGTCTTGTGCGGCATGCTTTCCACGTGGCCATCCGAGACTCGGCCGCAGAGCGTCTGGAGCGGCAGCCAGGAGACGTCCTGGAAGGTTCAGAGGGCGCTGGACGAGCTGCGCGTGTGGCTGCACAACAGGTACGTTGATAAGGCCTCGGGGCCGCTCCCGAATCGAAGGAGAAGAAGAAGAAGAAGCATTTCCATATACTATAGAATAACCACTCGGAGGTCCCCGCGGAGTTCTTGACGCGGCGTTGGACCCACCTTGCGGCGCCTCCGGCGCCGCCCTGGCGCGCCACGCGTGCCAGGGGGGTCCAGCGCCGATCCGAGAAGTTCTTTCGGCATGCTCAGCTGGGCACAATATAAGCTTCAAGCAGTGGCGAAGCGCCCTGGCGTACCTACAGGCCTCTGTGGTCTCCACGAAATGATCATAGAACATGTCTGGCTTGGATTGGTTTGTTTTAACACATCAGGTTAATGTTTTGTTTCTGCTCTTAGAACAGTTTGGGGTTCTAAGAGCATTCCGCGGTAGGCCTGTAGGCCTGTAGGAATGCCGGGACGGTCGGTCCTTGCTCAATTTCTTCAGCATGTTCAGCTGGGCTCAATTTAAGCTTGCGCTGCCCTGAGATTGCACCCAGGCCGATGCAGAGGACGTGCGAGGCGTGGTCGGCGCCGCTCTCTGGCTCGATCCCACGGTGCACTACCGATGTTGTTGGAGGCGCGCGCCGTCTGGCGGCACGCCTGCGGCGGGGAAGCCGCCTCTAGAGTTTGCCTTGCGCGCGCTCCCCAGTCACTAGGCGCATCAAGTAACAACACGGCCTGTCAGCAGGTGCCCCGCAGCCTTGTTTATCACCCGAGGGCCTCAGGGACCCACAGAAACCTTGGTGCACCTTAGGTCCCCCAGAGGTCGACGAAGAATGTGGCCCTGCACGTCTTATAGCAAGATGTCTTACACTGTGTGTCCACTGTACTTGTGCGTGTGTGTGTGTCTGGGGGTGCGTCGGAGGCCGCCTGCCCTCGGCGGCCAGCACGGGGTGGAACTGAGAAGGAACGGGCCTTCTCAGAAGGCTCGGAAGTCCTCCGGCCCACTGAGAAGTTTTGTAAGCTTTCCCCGAAGAAATAGAAAACCTCTCAGAAGGCCCAGGGTTTCCGAGAAGCCCCGCCGCCGTCTGAGAGGGCCTTCTCTTTCTCAATTCCCCCCCTCGCTCGCCGCCGAATCTCGTCCTGACCGCCGGGCACTCCCCAGGAGCGCGATGGGGATCGCGCTTCTCGCGCCACGGTCCTGGTCACAGTGGTGGCCCCTCGATGGATGATGGGGGCGGCGCGAAGGGCGAGGTGGCGAGTAGAGTTCCGCGCGTCGCGGGGTGCGATGCGCGATGCTGGGCGGCTTGGGAACCAAGAGGAAACGGTACGCATACTGCTACCCTTCCCTCGTTTTTCTTTTTCTTTGTTGCCTCCTCTCGTTGCCACCGCTGGATTCGCCTCGAGATCCTGGTCAGAACGCACCCCAGGAGAGGTCTGGGGAGTAGCAGTATTGGTACCTTTTTGTTTGCCCATGGTTGATCTTGATTCGTCGTTGCTCTTCGTCTAGCATGGGGTCGAGCGCGGTGTTCCGTGACGTTGGGGGCAGGGAGGCCCACCATCGCCATCCGGATGGGTGGACAGGAGGCGACCTGGCTGGTGGCAGTGTGTGTGTGTGTGCCCTTCTTGACGCTCCAGCGGGGCACTCTGCACGCCTGCATCCCGGTAGGTAGGAAGTCACGGAAGATTCCGCTCGTCTTGCCACGCCGTCCAGGCGGGCCTCCCTCGCTTTTCGAGTGTGCGTGTCTCTTCCTCTCTCCCCCCGTCAGCTCTCATGGGCATCGTTTCTGGATGGGCTGGTGGGGATACTTTCTGTTCGCGAGCGCGCAGGGGTGCCAGGCTCCGTCAGGAAATTGCCAGCTAGCAAAAGCCTGAATTAGCCACTAAGTGCGCATGTGCAGACTGGTGGGGATACTTTTTTCGGTCGCGTCCACCAGCGAAGGCGCTAGCGGAGTCAGAAGCGCTACGGGTCACGACAGCGGCCTAATTAGCAGCTAAACGGCTGGTGGGAATACTTTTTGTTGGCGGCTCCCTGGCGAATGTCGGGAAGCGGGGCAACGATCGGGGCGCGAAGCGAAGATAATTGGCCGCAGTGGCATATGCACATGCGAGGGACAAAATGAACCAAATTACACGCCAAAGGCCGGCGCAGACATCCCGGCGATTGGGGACCACGGCGCGGCGACCGGCGGCGAGACGGCGACGAGAAACGCCCTTTAGGCGCCAGGCACCAGCCAGCTCAACGTGACCAGGTGATCAAGCCGAGCATCCCGACGGGTGGGGACGAGCGCGGCGACCGTCACAGGGACGGAACTGGAACGGCAAGAGGAAGTCGCCCTGGCGGCGCCTGTCTCCGGCCGATTAACACACGGAAGCGAGGCCAGAGCGAAGAGAAAAGGTGCAAGTGCGTACGCCAGCCGGGGCACACGGCAGCGCCAAGAAAAGAAGGGGTAGCAAGCAGAGAGGGGCCTCACTCACCCTGACTCACTGACGCAGAGGTGTGGCTGAAGCCCGTCCTTCGCATGAGAAGGGGGCGACCCCGGTTTGCGCACACGAGGTAGAGCCTCTCCAGCCTGTAGCCAGTGCATACACAACGTATCCGACTCTCGCGGTTTGGGGGCACAACGATGCAAGTACTGACGGAGGCTGATGCAGACTGATCTGCTAGGGGTAGGCCACGAACAGCCGAAGGCTGAACCACTCGGTGCAGGACCACACCCTGGCGAAGCCAGACATCAGGTAACACCGGAAGTATGGCTAACGAGCGCGCTCGATCTCCACCTGTCACGGAGCCCGAGGAGCTGAGTATGCCTGGCGGCGACCAACTGTAGGCCGTAGCGACTGTAGGCGGCGTGCTGGCCGCGGGCCGAGACGTCTTTGTGGTAGCGCCATGATCGGATCAGCGTAGAACCAAGGCGATACACAGGTAGGGGGTGCGCTGCCTGCTGCTGAGCGCCGGTGTCACAGTGGGAGGGCGGGCCCCCTCTACTGCAGTACCACAGGCGTGCGCACGCAGGCTGGCAACCAGCCGATAGCCAGTGCATCCACATCGTATCCGACTCACGCGGTCCGGGGGCTCAACGATGCGATGTCCTGGCGAGGGCTTGGCATGTGGCTGCGCCGAGAAGAGCTACAACTTGACCGCAGGCTGAACCACGCGATACGGGTCGCTCGTACGGCGAGGGCACTCACCATGGTGCGTGGTGGCACCCCCATCCACCACATGCCACGTTGCCCCTGCGGAGGAAGGGCGCGTCCGGAGCTATGGCGGGCAGTCCGCCGGCCGCAGCCAGGCCGCAGGGCAGTGCCCTTCACTGTCGGCGTGCTGACCTGCCGGGCTGGGTCGCCACTGCTGCTCCCTGGGCGGGTCACAACTTCCACCGACGATGCTATCTGTGCTGTTGAACGCGGGGGGGCGCAGCCGAAAGCCGCAGAGACTTGTGAATAAGAGGAGGGGGGGGCAGCCAGATGCTGCTGGACACAGATGGGGCCCTGAGCGTCCGTGCACGGTCTGTCACAGGGCGGGCGCACCTCTGCGGCCGCAGCAATCTTCGCACGGGGGGGGGCGCAGCCGAAAGCCGCAGAGACATTGTGAATGAGTGGGGGGAGACGGAGGAGGAGAAGGAGGAGGAGGAGGAGGAGGGGGCGCCGACAAAGCCCAGGGCACGGGTGACGTGCCCAGGCGAGCGCCCAGGGAAGGACGCGGGGCGGCCACGCATCAGCGATTGGTGCAATCACGGCGGACATGAAGGGGGGCGCAGCCGAAAGCCGCAGAGAAATTGTGAATGAGAAGACGATGGGGGCGCAGCCAATGGCCGCTGAACTCAGATGGCGGTCCCGATCAACCATGCATAGAGCTTCCGACCCCCAGGGGAATGGGGCCGATCGCGGGCGGAGCGGTACTTGGAAACCCAACCGCTGCCGTTCACTATGCTATGAAAGAGGTGGAGCGCAGGAGGTGGGCTATTTCGGCCACCAGTCTCTGCCGTCCAAAGTGGGCTGCCCTGGAAGAGTGGCACCGACGACCCCATAGCCCATGCTGGCGCGGGGCTGAGCGCGGGCAGTGCGGCAGATGGTTTTGCACCCCGACCGCCGCCGTTCACTGTGCGAAAAAGGGAGTGGAGCGCAGGAGGTGGGTTATTTCAGCCACCCGCCACTGCCGCCCAAAGTGGGCTGCCCTGGGGGGGTGCACGGACGACCCCCGAGCCCACGTTGGCGGTGGCCTCCGCCGAAGGAGGCAGTGGCCGCAATCCCGCGCAGCGATCGGCCGCGGGGATGGAAGGGCCTGGCAAGGTCCACGTCTCCAGCGTGGGCTGTCGATGTGCGAAGCTCATTGGCGTCCCCCGCCCCCGCGAGGGTAGCACTTGTTGGCCGAGGCCGGGTGCTGCAAGGTCCATGAGTCCAGCGTGGGCTGTCTAAATGCGCAGCGCGAGGGTCCTGGCGCCCCTCTGCCCCATAGGAGGTAGCACGGGCATTGCGGCACAGGCCGTGGGCTGCGGGTGAAACCGAAGGGGGGGGGGGGGGTGCGGCGAATGGAGGTCAGGGAGGAGCGAGGTATTGTGTGCTGCGCGCAGCAGGCAGCACCTAAGTTGGCGGGCCGTGGCGGTGACCGTTGCGGCCCTATTCACGCTGGGGGGCCAGGCCCGCGCGGGTCCTCGCTGCGCACCCTTCATCTGGGTCGGGAGTCCCAACCTCGCGGACGCTTGTCAGCGTACGGGTGATCTCCTCTGGGGGAGTAGCGCTTGCCCTTCGCCTGCCAGTCCGTGTCGGTCCATGACGCCCCTTGGTGCCCCCCAGCGTCCCAGGAATGCCATCCACGCCATGGCGAGCCTGAGCTGGATGCCCCGGTCCACTGGTCTGGCGGGGCCGCACGTTCCCCCCGTTGTCCGCTGTGTTCCATGGGGGATGGCAGGCGTTGCAATCAGTCCCGCGGGCTGTGTGCGGTCTGGCGTCGCGTTGCATGAGTTTGCGATGCCTCTCCTGGACACTCGACCAGTCAACATGGAGCTTGTACTCTCTATCCATCTTATAGGCGTCACATTCCGCTTTGCTCCATGCCTGGAGAAAATC